GTGATGGGTCATGACATGATAACATCAGGGTAGCATGCCGCATAGCTCACGTTTACGGCTCTGGCCTTGGAGGGGGCGATTTCGCGAAATCTTGAACTATAGCCGCAAAAACACAATGGTCCCATCGTATTCTCGAAATGGAGGTCACTATCGGAGAGACATTACACAAAGTGGAAGATATTGTGCCGAGTCAAGTTGCCTGCAGTCGAGAAGAACCGTTTATGCGTTTTGTGAATAGTATCCATATTACTAGCAAACACCCCGAAGAACAGACGTTATGGTGAGGCCTTATAAAGAACCTAAAATAAAGTGATTCTGCCCGTACCACCCAAGTATAAGAGGCCAAGCTTAAGGACACCTGAAAAAAAGACAAGATGAAAGGACTGGACTTTCTCTTTCTTCAGTGTCTTTGTGCGTGTTTGGTAGTAATATGGAAGCTTTGAGACAACGCAAACTAGCCAAGGCAAATGTCTTAACGTATGAAAGGTAGCCTGCTTAACTCCTCATGTACGAAGTACACGCAATATAGCGCAGTCTATATTTCTTGGTCGTTCTAGCATAACGTGCTCTGGCACTTTGTCCTTACGACAGAACGGGGGGGGGGGGCGAGTAATTAAATAATTCTAGTAGCCGAAGTTAGCAAGAACAATTGCTTTCATGTGTTTGTATCACTTTTTTACGGGTATTCCCCTAGTTTACAGACCACGAGTATTAGGTTGGGACATTACAATTATTGCATTTCAATACTATGTCATCCCCATGTGTCATCGGTGGTCTAAGTAGGGTTCGACTTGATGGTAAACCTTGCATCTAAGAAATTCTAAATAAAACATAATGACAGAAATTCTTCAACTGTGACAGCCCTGTAATCAGAAACGCCACGCGATTTTTTATTATTTCGCAGCTATCCCACTGCATAGTATTATCGGTATACAGACAAATTTACGTATAGCATACGGGCGCTGCCACCTTGGGCTGGTAAATGAAGGTTTCCTTATTTTTGTATATCTGTTTTGGTCTGAAAACGTCAAGTGCACCAACCCAGGGATTGTTAAGGCTACAAGACGGCCAAGTTAACAGCACAATATCGAAAGCACCGAAACTCATCCGTTTAAAGTCTTTATCCAACAGGGATTGTTGCTTTGCTAGTTGGTTCATAGCTTAAGGGAAAATTGGTATGGCGCAGAGAAAACGGAGCCCAACGGAATTTATACAAACTGACAATTGCCGCCCATGTTTATCATTTCGCACGCTCTCAGTCAGGTGCCGGATAACGAACGGCACATATGCGGCGCGCTTCTGCGTACTGAATAAAATGCTGTCTGTAAGGAGCTAATCAATAAAAAAATACCCGTCACATCCGCGTGGCGCAGAAGTCACGCATACAGCCGGTAAGAGCAGGTGCAAGAAGGAAAAAAAGAAAAAAAAAGGGGAGAGCAGCCCTCTCCGTCACGCCAGCCTGGCGCCAGGAGCCGGCCTCAACTTACGCAGAACAGTTCAGCCACAAGCGCGAGCGCGGAGAAAAAAAGAGCGAAACGCCCCCCTCCGCTGCCGTTGCAACGCCAGTTGGGCGCCCAGCGCCAGCGTCACGTTCACCATCGCCTGCACGCCGTGGCATTTATTTGTGAGTCGTCATTTTGACCCGCTGTCTTGTGATGGTCGTTTTTCAACAAGATGGTCTGGCACGGAGACATTTTCCAGTGCTATATGGAACGCTTTATTCAAGATATCATACATCTCTCTGCATTTGGGCATACACTGGGATGTGCAGTATCATTGTTATTCTTTGGACTTCAATAAAAGAGTACAAACAACTTTCCGTTCATCAGTTGTCGAGGTATGACGCTGTGTCATACACTAAATAAAAGAGTACTAGTGCATGCGTGACAGCTTTCTGAAACACTGGCCGATGTATGTTGATGCTCATGTTCTACCAAACAAGTTGAACTGATGATTTTAGGAGAGCATGGCAAAAAAGATGAGACAGAAAAAGATCAAAACTGAAAATCGATTGGTTGATGTTTGATAAGTGGTTGCATAATTTGATGATGAACATCAAGTACAGACGTCAAAAGTCAGGTGCAGAAGTCAGCTATAGAGCCCCGCCGTGGTGGTCTATAGTGGCTAAGGTACTCGGCTGCTGACCCATAGATCACGGGTTCCAATCCCGGCCGCGGCGGCTGCATTTACGATGGAGGCGGAAATTTTGCAGGCCCGTGTGCTCAGATTGGGTGCACGTTAAAGAACCCCAGGTTGTGGAAATTTCCGGAGCACTCCAATACGGCATCTCTCATAATCGTATGGTGGTTTTGGGACTTCGAACCCCGCATATCAATCAATCAATCAATCAATCAATCAATCAATCAATCAATCAATCAATCGAAGTCAGCAGGAGAGCGTATGTCACTGACATTTGCTCACTCTTTTCAATGTTAGGTACAGTTCTCATATCCCAGCAAGGATTTGTAACAGTGAACCGCGACCAAGACAACCAGTGTACTGCTGTGAAGATAATGTACCAGCTATAAAAATCCGCATTTTCGAAAAAGCAACTGCTAGCGGTAAAATTGAATATTTTGAAGTTCGTTCTGCTCCCTTTCGTGACCCCAACTGCAGACCGACGTTCGTGAGAGATGTGCAGAGGCATTATTTATTTGAAGGGAGACCTACCTGTCCGTCGATAATTTGTGTATGTCATACTTGACCTTGGTGCGTGTTTCGGCATTCTTTTGATCAGCGGGGTGATGCTGAATAAAGGTAAGAGTAGCCACTCCCCATAAATAAGATCAGTTGAAGACTGAAAATGAGTGAAAACCACTCTATATAGAGAAATAATGTGCATAAATTCTAATTGCAGAAAGAAGTAATCGTTAAAACGCTAAAAAGGTGCTGCTGTCCCAGCGTGCAGCTCGCGGCAGTTCCCGCATACGAAATCCAAATGTTATAGTAGGCACGCTAAAATACCCATGCAACGTTTACACGCGAAAGCGCATTGTCTTCAAACAGCTGAGAATAGGCTGCTGTCACTGACACGCTTGTGCCACGCGACACAAATCAGCGAAATTTCTCACACCACACGCATGTGCGAGAAACATACGCAGATTTCGACAGCCGAACACAACATCGTCCGCGAATTTCGGTGAGCGTAATACCCACAGTTCACGGGGTAGCACTAAAACGACGCAAAAACACAGGTTATTTTTTCTTGCACAACGGCGCACCCTGAACCGAAGTCGGAGCCGAAAGCACTTTCCGTGGTTGTCTCGAGTTCATGAAGCCCTATACAAGCTATTTGCTGATAAAATGCATGCACATGCCCCTCAAACAGTTCAAGGTTCCGAAGACGGTTTGCAAAAATCCACTTGGTAGATATATACCCGCAAGAAGACTCGCCTTCGTGCGGTGGCGCTGTGGTGCAATAGGTAAGACATCTACTTCGATCTTTTGACACAAGGAACGGGCAAATCTCTAGGACTTTCTTCTTTTCGTTTTGACTATGAGTGACATGATACTCTGGGAAGCTTTGCTTTGGTTTGATTATTATGATTGCTTCTTCGGTGCGCCACCTTTTGAGAGAGCAATCAGGAAAGGAGAAAAAACATTTGTCATACGGAGAGTATTTCGGCGGCGATGGTAGCCACCCACCACTGAGCTCAACAACAGGACGCTACAAGGTTGATTCGCAAACACTTGGAGACGCCAGCCATGCATCACCCGTATAACCTAAAGTATTTACCCAAGGTTGGATACCTACACAACGTTAACTTTTGCCGGCAGGAAATTTGGAAATAAATGAAAGAAAAAAGACGGCAGGAGAGATAAAACTATGAGAGAAAGACGAAGATGAGGGCAGAGTGTGACAGGAAAAGGCGACTGCCGATTTCTCCTGTGTGGGTCAGCCCAGGGGTGCTGTCAACGTGAAGCCGGTGCCAAAGGGGTGTGTGGCCTCTGCCGGGGGGCTTAAACGTCCAACCACCCGGCGTATGCTCAAACCCCAGGATCCCCTTTTCCCCGGACACGGCAAAGCCACACACGGCTAAGCATTGGAGGTAGACGAACCCCCCCCCCCCCCCCCCCCATCAGCTCGAGTTCGTGGTGTCGCTACACACCAAACGCAAACGCCTGCTTGCACAGACGCCCCTGCAAGGTCGTATCTTCACTTCATCCCGGTTCTTTTTGCTTCATATCATTTCTTTCTCCAGTCTGTACCGCAGTCAGTATTGCAGGAAAACCTGATACCTGAGTTATGCAAAAACAGGGAAAGTTGAATGTGCGGAAACGACTTTTCTACAAAATGACATTTTACCGAATACTCGATAACGTCATCGCTTATTGCCCCCTATCATTGGTGCAGTGCCACGCTGCGCTCAACGTGCTGGGTTGAATACCTTACACACCCATCGTTCCGTTTTTTTTTTGTTGCTAATTCCATTGATCAGATATAAATCTCGACGCAATACCGCAAAGACAGCTATGTGAAGGTTAGAAAATGACCGTAACACTAATGAAAGATGTATATTTTTGCATTTGAAACATTTTTTTTGTTTTCTTTTTGCACTAGAATAACAAAAATGAAGTGGTCTATATACGAAGTGATTGAGGTTGTGTACAAAGAATCATCAGTGACCAATTGAACTTTGGTATGTCGCTTCACAGCAAAAAAAAAACAATGCCAACAGTTGAGTCTTTTACGGACCCATTCATTGTCACAAATACAATATATCCACCAGATTTCCTTTGGCTTATAATCTCAGTGCAAATTCCTGTGAGTGCGACCGACTGCTGTTGCACTAGTATGTTGCACCATTAGCGTACTACGAGACGTCGCCCCACTATCAAAGTAGCAGCAGAAAGCGCTTCTATAATTGCGCTCACGTTCTGCGCCCTAGTCACAGTCGTCGCGTGAGAGGCGTGTGCAGTCGCGATAGCGACGTCAATGCCAAGGCGCCATCGGCCAATGGAACCGAAACGGATGCATCCGCCCTCGCGATTGCACTTTGTGATTCGCGTGAAGCCCCGGCAAGTACAAAGGGAGCTGCCTCGGGAGACCTTGTATGCAAAGTCAACGCTGACAAAGCGGATCGCACCCAGCTCGCCAGAGGTGAGTTTCGCGCGTCGGCGCTGTCATGCTATATATACCGAAAAAGTACGCATGGATATAGGGAAGTTGGGATTGCTTTGTAGCGAAAGTGCGGAAGAGCCGATACGATTTGTGCCGGTTCGGCAAACAAAACAGGGAAAGCACCTCCATTCCAACCATCGGGACATTCATATTTTATATCATAGTTTGCTTCTTGAATTGCAGTGATAATTCTGAAACTTTATGCGTTCGTATCCGCGCGTGCTTTCACGAAGCGAATGAGTTGACGATCACTCCAACTTGTTTCAATCATTTTTTCTTTCCTTGGAGTTACGAGCAGTGGAACTAACACTGGAGATATCATTTCAAAAAACACCAAGCCACAATCTGCATCAAGGCAGCTACTGCATTTAGGCCTTCTCTGTGAATGCATTAGTAGTAATGCGAAGGAAAATAAGAAAACGAACCAGAAAAGCCACTATGCAGAAGATCGTTCGTTTATAAACACGGTACGTTATTATGTGAGTTATTGCGTAAAAACGACCTCGTTTATACAGGATGAGTGTATGCCTGTAAGAAATATTCTTGAGAAATCGCGTTGATAAAGCCTATTACTATAGCAATAAATAAAGAGAGTGATATATGAATGGAAGAAAGGTTAACCGGGTTAGCAGTCCGTTCAGCGTAGCAAGCGTCGAAAAAGCAAGAGCGGGGAGGTAGGCTGTCGTCATAAAGGAAAAAAAAAGAAGAATGCACGGTCCTCTGTCAGACCGAACAAACAGAATCAATATAAATGCACTAGGGAAAGCTGCACACTTGAACAATTTCTCCTTGCGCGTGAAAGCACGTACTCTAGTAGCTGATTATACAGGGTGGCTAATTATTTTCTTACGTTAAAACGTTCCCCACGTTATGCATTTTGAAAAACGGTCTTTCACTAGAGCTTGTGCTGTCTTGCGTATTTGTGTTTAGGAGCACAATAAAGGACGCCACGTGGTCGAAATTTCCAGAACCCTTCCCTACAGAGCGTTCCTCATATTTATATTGTGATTTTAGAAGTTTGAAACAAAACAATTATTAATATATGTATTGTCTTTCTAACGAATGTGCAGCTCATTTCTAGTCTACACCAACAGTCAGTGCACACAGAAGAGCCAACGTAATCAATTTCCGCATAATGTTGTCACTTTTCTGTAATACCAGAGAGACGTTCCTTATCGATGATTCGTCATGCACTTGAAGATTGTGTTTGTGAAGCAAAAAATACCACTGACAAGAAATCAGTCGTTTTCTGGGCTCGGATACGACGCGATGGTGTCATCACATCCATTACGATGACAAATGCCTAACTGGGTCGTATTTTTGTGATTGTGTGCAGTGATTTACTAGTAGTTTACCTTCCACCCATTTTGAAAGCCTAAACATTGCTTAAAATACCATTGAATAATTTTCCGGTGGTGGTTAAGTGGCTGGGAAAGTGCTTCATAGCTAAGCAAGAGGTTACCGGCTCATGTCTTGCCAGTGGCGTTTATATTTTGGGAGGGGTTGCAAGCAGGGGTGCGTGTGTATCATAGTTCAGATGCCTTTCGGAAAATTCACGCCATCAAAGGTAAAGTAAAGCAGTGTTGCTATGTTTTTAAAAGCCCCTGTGCAACAATAAGATGAGATGTGTTTCATAAATCATTCACTTATTTCTAAAAGTCAAGTTATATGCTGACAAGTGCTTCTAAGGAATTCATGTTTCGACGCCGTTTAGTTATCAAGGCATTTCAGTTCATACTTTTGTTGTTGTTGTTGTTGCTGGTGTTGTTGTTGTTGTTGTTGTTGCTGTTGTTGTTGTTGTTGTTGTTGTTAGAAGATGAGGTTGCATAACCTCTGAAGGGTTCTGCAACATCTTTTTTGCTGGGTTATTCAACATAATCAGCAGTAGTAATATAGACCGTTATTTTGAAATTTTCAAAAAGTAGCATTGGTTTCAAGCATGTGAATGACACAGAACACAAATAGACGCTGCTATAGCGTTCGTGTTAGGGGATACTGTTTTACGATTAGATCGAGGGGGAGACCTGAATAAATCTTGCAGAAGGAGGTGAGCCTTGCCTGTGATAGAGAAGAAGCAACATAAGAAAAAAAGCAGCAAAATAATATTATTGTAAGTAGCTGTAGAATACATATACATGAAAACAGCACTATCACATTGCGATTGAAACATACAAAACACATGGACATTTTCATGAACACATGTTCATAGAACACATGAGCACATGTTCATAGACATGAACATTTCCGTATGCTCTGGCAATTATACAGACACACGACATACGGAGAATGAGTTCAAACACGCTGCCACACTTCACTCTTTGGTGGGTCAAGTGCCTATAGAAACGCGCCATTGTGCACAGATCAATGCAGAATGGGGTCTAGAAGTCGTGACTGCGTCAAGATTTCCGCAAAGCCCGCCATATTAGTTTCTACCATTTTATTTAAAGCGTAGACATCATCAGGTAGCGCTTGTAGGATTGAGCATCGCAAATTTCATCAGTTCATGCTACATGGCTCCCACAAATAACTGAAAAAATCACGGAACACTTAATTGTATTGACATATGCAGTACCCAGATTGTGAGGTACTGTGGCCAGTGAAGTGCTCGTGGAACGTGTGCGCTTTGTAAGCAGTCAATATTTTTTTTCTGAGGAAAGGGAATAAGATGCGTTATGTCGTATGGGCATATAGAGTGATTAGTAGAAGTCATAATTAGTGCAAAAAATGAAACGCTCGAATTAAGGGGTGATATATGAATCATGTTTGAATTAGGGTAAAAACTTGAGGTATAAGTAAAATAAAATATATGTATGGGCATGCAAGTGAACGAAATGGGCGGTAAGAGTGGATCGAAGGTAACAAAAAATTAAAGCCGAGGAAATAACTGCAAACTAAAGGGATTCGGATAAGAAACTAAGGTCAATGATATGTTAATCATAGTAAATTGGGAACCAAATATCAGCATTTAGACCCCCGATGTGATATTGTTATTTCCGATTACCAGTTGGTACGATTTCTTAGATATCACATCGGGGGTCTAAATGCTGATATGTTATTTCCGATTACCAGTTGGTACGATTTCTTAGATGATATCGACAAATTATGTTGGAGTAAATTATTAAATGTCAAGGGCGAGTAGAGACTTTCGCCTTGCTAGCCTTAACGCAAATAAAGACTTTTTCCTTAGCGTTTGCTAATTGGACTAGATTTAAAAGCATAGGTCATAGCTAATTAAACCCATTTCGAAGTTTCACTTCCCGAAAAGGGTGATATGATTGCGAGGGACACCGCACTGGAAGGCTTGGGAACTTTGTTCATCTGTGGTTCTTTAATGTACACCCAAATCTAAAAACATCAGCATCGAGCATTCCCGCCTCCATGGAAAATGCAGTGGTCACATTTTTTCGGCCAAGATTGGATCCCACAACCATCGTGTCACTGACGTTAATTTCTTGAAGTGAAATCAATTGATCTATACCACCATTTCTTTGATAATTTCAAGTAACTGATAAAACCAATGCAAGTGGTGCATTTCTCTCTATCCCTCTCTCTCTTTGTGACTGGCTTTAATCAGGCGCGTTTCGTTTTGAAGTTTCGAGTGTAAGAAAAATAACGACATAAAAATGCCATTTTACTATACTTACACCAGTGTCAAACGGTCACTTTTGATTAATCCTGATTAAGATCTAATCTTTTGTCATGACTTCCTCACGAAAGCTACTGTGAAGAAGTAACCACTGCGGAGCAATTTGATAAGGATTAGGCGCACTCACGACTAGTAATTACGAAAATTACGATCTGCGAATATGTATCAACCGGCCCAACTAAGGACTCAAGGGCAATCAGAACTGCACCTTGTGACAGCGGGATTACAGACATCGGAATGGTAATGATGTACAAAACTAGGCCCGAAAAATGTCCCAGTGTGCGCTACACATTTACAAAAGACATATCGACGTCGTCTTCGTCGTCTTAGAGGTGTGGGTCTTCATCACAATTGGTCGCCATGCTTGTGTACACAAACTTTATTGGCGAGCTTGTGTTCTGACGTTCATGGTTTATACGGAGTATCGCAATTACATTCAATTCGTACTTTTATGTCAGGCAATACACTAGGCACTAAAAACGACTTTCGCTCGATACTTGTGGTATGCAGCATTTTCGTCAACGCGGAAACTTTGCACACCTGAGATATATTGGTTTTATGTAGATGAAAGACATTCGCGCTGTCACCCTCGACATAGTTTATTGCCGACTGTTGACTAAACCCAGTTACAATTAATGGAGTTAGTCCTATAAGAAAGACAAGCTTGGATATCAGCCGTTTTTCTAGATCCAAATGAGGTTTGGATTGTAGTTTGCCTTACAGTAAGCTTAATGGCGCTATCATAATTCGAAAGAAGTGCGAAGTATACTTTCATTTATTATCATTACTTAAAGATGAAGCTTTCACCGGAAGGAACTGGTCTTTTTCTCTGCCCACAAGTAACACTATGTTTGAACGTTGCAGGGTCTATAACATGTGATAAGAAATAAAAAAACTGACGTTATCTTGCCAATTGTCACTAAGAATACGCTGTCAGCACTAAATTTAGTTTATATAAAAGGATATATTGATAGAAGAAGGCCCACAATACATTCACCCTCTCAAGGCGCTTGAATTCGCATCAATGAGCATAAATGCAGAACCCACGAACACTCCTTACTAACCCAAGTCAAACGCAGTGTTCTCCTCACGCAATTAGCTGAAATAACTAGTAAGAAAATCTAAAATATGGGGCTGTCATCATGCGCTTATGTGGAGATGCATAAATGTCTCAAGTTGCACTCTAAGCCTGTATAAAATTTAACACTTTGTTACCTTCTTTTTTTTCTGCTAAAACCAGCCAGTTTACTGAAATGGAGTGATACTGGAGAAATGACACAAAGCGTTCTGAGAAAGCAACTGCGACCGTATAGAAACGTTCTTACTCGCCAGT